TGACTCAATATGAATCTCATTCTTTGATGAAGTAAAGGGACAATCATTATATGNCATCATCAATCCATTTAAATATCAGGATTTAGTTTCCTTTAATAATTAATTTCCACAATACAAATAACATCGTCTCCTAATTCACTGAGCTTATTGACTCAATATGAATCTCATTCTTTGATGAAGTAAAGGGACAATCATTATATGCACATGAAGATTAAATATCTCGGGATTAAGAGCATAAAGAATTATAATAATCATGAGATATTTATTATCTTATTGAATTAGTAAAAATAATAGCCTCAACATGGGTCTGTTCAATACACAAAGTGTACTAGTGCAATAATTCGAGACATCAAACAATCTCTTATAATCAAGACAGACTATGCCAAAATATTACACTACAATCATACTAATGGTGTGCCCAATTCCATCTAGAATTGTGACCACATATTTATATTATACAAGAATCTGATAATCTGGTCTTCTATGCATAAGTCAAATTTTACACACCAGATTATCTACAATGTAAAATAAAAGACACACATGTATACTGTATATCAAATACAATGCAAAAATTTTGCCCACATAGATTCTCACTAAAATTTTAAGAACAAACTTCTATTAACTAATAAAAAGAGTTTCACTACAAAAAATAAGCTTTTAGTATACAACTCTATCATTATGTTCCCTGTCCATGGAATGTATCTAACTTCAAGAAGTTCTATCATTGAATAAAGTAATTTTTCCATTGAGATGGAAGATGCCNTAGTATACAACTCTATCATTATGTTCCATGTCCATGGAATGTATCTAACTTCAAGAAGTTCTATCATTGAATAAAGTAATTTTTCCATTGAGATGGAAGATGCCTTAACATATGAGCAAAGGACTTGGTCATTAGGGACACGACCCCGAGTGGGATAAGCCTCTATACTCCAATAGACGGGGATTCTCCTCCTTCGGGAGGGAAACATCCTCGAAATTTACACAAGTAAAGGACTCGGTCATTAAGGTCACGGCCTTGAGTGGGATAAGCCTCCATATAGGTAGAGCTTCGCACTCTAATAGATAGGGATTCACCTCCTTCAGGAGGGAAACATCCCTGAAGGTTACACGAGTAAAGGACTCGATCGTTAGGGGCACGACCCCAAGTGGGATAAGCCTCCACCTAGGTAGAGCTCCGTACTCCAATAGACAGGGATTTGGCTTCGTCAAGAGGGAAATATCCCCAAAAGTTACATGAGTAAAGGACTTGGTCTTTAAGAGCATGACTCCTAGTCAGATAAGCCTCTGCACTCCAATAGAAAAAAGGATTCACCTCCTTAGGGAGGGAAACATTCCCAAAAGATACACGAGTAAAGGACTCGATATTGGAATAACTATGCACAAATAGCTTTTCACTAAGAAAAGTGTGCAAACATCCATAGAAATTATGTTGAAAAAAAGGGATTTGCACCCCCCCAACATACAAAACCAAAATTAAAATCCCCACTGGGTTCATAGAAATTGTACTTGGCCACTACTAGCTTGGCCCCNCACCCCCCCAACATACAAAACCAAAATTAAAATCCCCACTGGGTTCATAGAAATTGTACTTGGCCACTACTAGCTTGGCCCCTTCTGTAAAACTCGGTAAATTTAAATTTTTTACAAAAAGGGCAAAACGGTAAATTGTTGCTACAGTACGGGTTAAAATTTAAAATTTTTCTAAATCTCGAATGATGAAACAAACTTCACCGTTGGATTCGTCTCACGAAATCTAATTACCCTGTCAAATTTCATCGAATTCCGACATAGTCAAATTTTTTACATTTTACGAGTCGATCGAATCTCGGGTGACCCAAAAACGAGATTTTTGATAAAATTTTANTTTGCACCCCCCCAACATACAAAACCAAAATTAAAATCCCCACTGGGTTCATAGAAATTATACTTGGCCACTACTAGCTTGGCCCCTTCTGTAAAACCCGATAAATTTAAATTTTTTACAAAAAGGGCAAAACGGTAAATTGTTGCTACAGTACGGGTTAAAATTTAAAATTTTTCTAAATCTTGAATGATGAAACAAACTTCACCGTTGGATTCGTCTCACGAAATCTAATTACCCTGTCAAATTTCCTCGAATTCCGACATAGTCAAATTTTTTACATTTTACGAGGCGATCGAATCTCGGGTGACCCAAAAACGAGATTTTTGATAAAATTTCAAAAGTTGGAAAATTATTTATGTTAAGTTAAAAATAAAAATATTTTAAACGTAAACCAGGACAAAATTTAATCCTTTCAGGGTGAAAACAGACCCGGAGAAAATAGGGTCATGTGGCGCGTTGTGGGCCAAGCAAATAAAGGGTATAAATAGGGGAAAAAATCTGATTTTTCCCCCATTTGTTCAAACGGTAAGCCGATAAAGAGAAAGAGAGGGAAAAGTGAGAAAAATACCACTTTCTCTCTGCGATCAACGACTCCACGGGCTTCGAATCAACTCGAGCCAAGAGGAAAAATTGATCTCCTCGTCAAGGGCTACGCCTACGTACCAAAAACGAAGATTTTCACCGAAGGTTAAAAAAATGGGATTTGATGAAACCAAAGGTTTGAGCTTGATTGAAGTTCTTCAAGGTGTCTACCAAGTGGGTTACGCTTCAAGAGGTAGGATTCCTTCCTACTCCAGTTTATTTTACAACCTTGGGTGTTTTGTGTAATTGGTAGGTTGATATATATATATATATATTATATATATATATATATATATATATATATATCACTTGCCTATGGATGTGGAGTGATGGAATTGATTAATTTGGTAAATTGGGTATGGGAAATTGACCTAATTTAAATTAAATTACTAGCTTGGAATTAGTATATGGTAATTATTTGTGTAATCTCATGGAGTTTGATATTATGTGGGCATGCTATGTGCTTAAATTATGCCTTGTGAACAAAGTGTGTTATTGGTATATATATGAGGAAATAACATACTTATGAATTATTATTGGAAATGAAATATTCGTATATGTTCATTGATATATTGACATTGTGATGAAAGTGGTGATAAATTGCATGATATATGTATACATATGGTTAAAGTTGCTCATATGTCATTCATTACATGTGGGCAAGACATTGAGATAGCAATAGTGCATTACATTGCATATGCATAGAGACATCGCAATTTATGGGTGTGAGTGCATGGTTGGCATCAAACACCATGCAGGTGGATGATGGGTGGACTCGGAAAAGTTGGATTGAATAACCGGCTAAGTCGCACGGTTGCATGAAAAAGAATTGGGTCGGGGTTAGCAAGAAGGGCTAAACTATCCCTTGGATGAGAGGCCCGATGTTCGGATACACACTTCCGTTGGTATAAGAGCCCATAAAGTGTGTCGGTGTACATAGAACCGTTGGTGGAAGTCCATGAATTCCGTGTCAGTTGGGTGACCGTTGGTGTAAGTCCATAAATAACCACCCCAAGAAATACCCGGAGATTTTAAATAGTCATTGGGTGTGTAACACAAATAGCGGGGCTTGGAGAGCCTGATTTTGATACTCACTGCATAGCATGGGGTGAAAGTAAATAGCCAGAGCTAGAAACGATCAATTTTATACACATTGGCATTGCATGTGTTGTGGAGCCGGGAAGGGCTCGAGTAAATTGCATGAATGGGTATCATTTCATTTCATGGCATGACATGTTAGATTCCAACTTTGATTTGCTGAAATCTTGGTTGGAATGATTGTTGTTGAAAAATGTTGCATGTGAACGTTGCATATGCACTTAGGTTGGGGAATAGTCTGTGTAGAAAACATTCTACTGGGCGTTGGCTCACCCTATACGGGAACACATTTCAGGTGCAGGGTATATTTCGGTGGATGACACTTGTGGCTTTTGAAATGAAGTTTTGTAGAACTTTTGTTAAAAACTACGTTTTGACATGTAAATGTATGAATCAAATGTGAAAGAACTTGTATGGATCATGTATAATGTAGAAAACTATATTTTACATGTTGGGAAAGAGTTTGGAAATGTTTTGGATGAATTGGAAATGAAAAATAGGTGAAACAGACAATTCTGGGCAAAACCTTCCAGAAGATTTGGACAAAGAGAAGGAAAAGTTGTCGAACAGTGGGTGAAATCTTCTGGAAGGTCCATTCTAACCTTCCGGAAGGTCTTCACATTTTTCTAAAATGAGGGAATCCAGTGTGTAACTTCTTTCGGAAGGTCGACACATCTTTCTTAAAGGTAAGGTTCCAGTATGCTCGATCTTCCAGAAGGTTTTTCAAAAATCTAAAATTTTAAGAATGCATTTACATGTTTTTGGGCTATGTGTTCTTTGTTTCCAATGACACAAATGGATCTTAAATGAGATACATTGGGGTATATTGAACCGCGATGGGATTAAATTATTATATAAAACACAATCCTCATGTGGGTTATAATCCCGGTTACAGGGATGTGATAGACGTAATGTCGGGTTATGTGATAATCATGGGTATTTTCGCGGATTAATGGGTGGTCAACGGTTAATAAAGGACCCCCGGTTTTTGGGGCGTCACACCTTCCTTGTCCACACCCTCGATCAGCTCCGTGTTCTCCATTTTCTCCCTCTTGGTAGCTGAGCAAGTCATCATAAGTCAACATGTACCTGTCATCCTCTTGGCTTTGAGAAATGACAAGGGGTAACAGGTTTAATTGGAATTGGAGGATCTTGCATTATAGGTGTCAAAAGCCACAATGGAGAAGGAAACGGGACCTCATCCTTTTTCCCATCACTTATACGGATTATGGTAGGAGGATAAGGGTTTTCCCTAATAGCTCCAAGTTGGTTCAAACCTTCATCGCTCTGCTCATCAAAAATAGTCGAGGGACAAACGTATGCTCAAAAAAGAGATCAGATTAAGGGGTGATCCTGACCACCATGAGCCCGGCATCCATTCGACCTTGAAAGATTTAGCCTTGGCGTCTAGGTAGACCTTCAAAATGTCCCTCTGGCACCTATCATAAGTCACCTAATGGATCCGCTCAACCCTACTCTCCATGTGGGCTAAAGACTCACTCATTGCCTCCACTTGGCTTGACAAGGTTGCATAGTTTTTCTTGGCCTTAGATAACTTGACTTCAGCAAAAGAGAACTTTAGCTCCGTTTTGGTCATTCTCTTCTCAAGCTCAACCTCAACAGTTTTTCTCGTGTCAATTTCATTTGAAAGACTGTTGATCTTCCCGATCAGAGTAAAGATTTCCTTCACCAGATTGACAATGTACTTCTCTTAGTCTCTGACCATATTCTTTAGGTTATCTACCTTGGTCTGAGCTTTGTTACAAACAGTGCGATAACCCTAGAAATGGTTCACAATGACTTCGATCTATTGAGAGGCCTAAATACAAAAAAGAGAGTTCAAGAAGAAATCAAAAAATAAATGACGTAAAGCACGATGGTGAAAGTATGCCTTACCACAATGATGTTTTGAATTGCTCCACGAAGGATGCCATTGCCAAATCGGTTCTTTTCGTTATTATAATGGGCCCAACTCCTATGTTATCAGTCATCAATCTTTCATAGCATGCTTCATTATCATAATGCTCTCTACGTTCAAAAGAAAATGCTCTGATATCACCATCATAATTATAGATAGTATATGAAATGAGATTGTGATTTCATAGGAATGATGATGTTGGTGGAATTGGCCTTCATCATAATCGTTATGAAAGGGAGAACGTCTTTTGAAGCACTCTTTTTGACTAAATAAAGTACAAATTGACTTTTCACACGAGCTTTTGTATTTGGCATGAAGGGTTCAAGTTTGATGATGTATTTCAACGTGGATGAGCAAAAGGTGCAAGCAACATGAGATGAACGTGGATCAGAGCTTCAAGGCTCGTGTATGATGATGCAATCAAATATTGAGGGGATTAAATGGGTGTACACAGTAAAAATATAGTGGTTCACCGGCTTAGGAGCTCGGCTAGTCCACTCTTCAATGGAGGCTATGACTCCTTTTTCTTTATTGATCATACCAAAGGTTTACAGAATATCTTTTTGGTTATTCGGTCCCCTCCATTGTTAGGGGGTGTTACCTTGCATTTATAAGGTCATTCCCTGCTAAGAAGGATCTTAGCCGAGATTCTTGCCCTTATTTCGTGGGCTTCTCCTTAATTCTAGGAGAAGATCTTAGTTGATTGAGATTGGGTGCCTTGATTACAGCTTTCTAACGCTTTAGGATCCTCTCGTGGTTATTCAGCTGTTATCTTGCCTTAAGAGACACTCGACACTTACCCTCTGACCTCTGCTAATGTGCCTAACCTCCTGGTCCGAGCTGACCTCTTGAGCTTAGCACTTGAAATTTATTTTAGGTATCATCATCTTTGTTACTTCCGCTGCTACTTTGATTGGGCTAGGCTTTACTCTACTTTTATGAGCTCTGTGCGTTTGACCTCCGCTTCCGAGCTCATACTTGGGAATTGCTATAAGTATCATCAGTTACCCCCCAGCTCTTGGTCAAGCTGGCTTGGGCGAGGGCTAAGCTTAAGATGTAGCAGAATGGTTTCTCAATCAGCGACTTCAAAGTTTGCACGGGAAGGGATGAGCTGAAGGAGGAGAATCTGTGTTTCATGCTGGCTTTGGCGATTCTGTAGGTATATGCAGCCGAGCTTAGGTTGTGGTGAACTGAGAGGCATGGAGCTTAAAGCGATCTTATTCTTGAAGGCTTGGGGGTGTCTGACACAGCTTTATCTTTAGTGGGAATAAGGCTGCCGAGTTCAACTCTGGACTTGAGAACTGTCTAGGTTTTTCAAAATGTTGGACTTGTAGACCTCAAGGTTCTGTAACTTCTTCTGAAAGAGTTTTTCTTCTTAAACTCCCTACCGTAGGTGGCCGAGCTCGTTGTGATGAACTTAGGAGTTCATCGAGAGCTACTAAGCTCATTTTTATGAACTTAAGGGTTCATCGTGAGCTTCTCAGCTTATTTTCATGAACTTAAGAGTTTATCGTGAGCTATTGAGCTCGTTTCCATGAACTTAGGAGTTCATCGTGAGTTCTAGGGCTCTTTTTATGAACTAATGAGTTCATCGTGAGCTCTAAGGCTTTTATTACTGACTAATGAGTTCGTCGTGAGCTCCAGGGCTCTTTTTATTAACTAACGAGTTCATCGTGAGCTCTAAGGCTCTTATTACGAACTAATGAATTTGTCGTGAGCTCTAGGGCTCTTTCTATGAACTCACGAGTTCATCGTGAGCTCTAAGGCTCTTATTACGGACTAATGAGTTCGTCGTGAGCTCTGGAGCTCATTTATGAACTAAAGAGTTCATTGTGAGCCTAAGGCTCTTATTACGGACTAATGAGTTCGTCGTGAGCTCCAGGGCTCTTATTTACGAACTAATGAGTTCGTCGTGAGCTCCAGGGCTCTTTTTATGAACTGACGAGTTCTTCGTGAGCTCCAGGGCTCTTATAACAAACTAATGAGTTTGTCGTGATGTCCAGGGCTCTTTTTATGAACTGACGAGTTCATCGTGAGCTCCAGGGCTGTTTTTATGAACTAACGAGTTCATTGTGAGCTCTAAGGCTCTTATTAGGCACTAATGAGTTCGTCGTGAGCTCCACGACTCTTTTTATGAACTAACGAGTTCATCGTGAGCTTTAAGGCTCTTATTACGGACTAATGAGTTCGTCGTGAGCTCTAAGGCTCTTATTACGAACTAATGAGTTTGTCGTGAGCTCTAGGGCTCTTTTTATGAACTAACGAGTTCATCGTGAGCTCGAGGGCTCTTTTTATGAACTAACGAGTTCATCGAGAGCTCTAAGGCTCTTATTACGGACTAATGAGTTCGTCATGAGCTCCAGGGCCCTTTTTATGAACTAACGAGTTCATCGTGAGTTCTAAGGCTCTTATTACAGACTAATGAGTTCATCGTGAGCTCCGGGGCTCTTTTTATGAACTAACTAGTTCATTGTGAGCTTTAAGGCTCTTATTACGGACTAATGAGTTCGTCGTGAGCTCCAAGGCTCTTAGTATGAATTAATGAGTTCGTCGTGAGCTCTAGGGCTCTTTTTATGATCTAACGAATTCATCGTGAGCTCAAGGGCTCTTTTTATGAACTAACGAGTTCATCGTGAGCTCTAAGGCTCTTATTACGGACTAATGAGTTTGTCGTGCGCTGCAGGGCTCTTATTACGAACTAAAGAGTTTGTCGTGAGCAGTAGGGCTCATTTTATGAACTAAAGAGTTCGTCATGAGCTCCAGGGCTCTTTTTATGAACTAACGAGTTTATTGGAAGCTACAGGGCTCTTTTTATGAACTAACGAGTTCATTGTGAGCTCTAAAGCTCTTATTACGGACTAATGAGTTTGTCGTGAGCTCCAGGGCTCTTTTTATGAACTAACGAGTTCATCTTGAGCTATAAGACTCTTATTGCAGACTAATGAGTTCGTCGTGAGCTCCAAGGCTCTTATTACGAACTAACGAGTTCGTTGTGAGCTCCAGGGGTCTTTTTATGAACTAACGAGTTCATTGTGAGCTCCAGGGCCCTTTTTATGAACTAACGGGTTCATCGTGAGCTCCAGGGCTTTTTTTATGAACTAACGAGTTCATCGTGAGCTCTAAGGCTCTTATTACGGACTAATGAGTTCGTCGTGAACTCCCGGGCTCTTCGTAAGAGTGAATGAACCACAAACTTGTTGTTTTATTAATAATCATATTATAGGACAAACTTACTAGAAAAGGTTCCTAAGATGTTCTGCATTCCAGGAGTGGGGTAAAATTTTCGTCGGGTTTGCTTTCATCCGGGTGGCCACCTTAGGAATTTTTCTTTTTGTACCTCATACAAGATTTGCAATATTGTTGCGGTGAGTGGAGGGACCTGTCGAGATAGTTACCTCGGCTACAACTCTGGATGAGGTAGTCCCAAACGATCTCTAACGTCTCCCCTTCTTTTGGGTGATCAATCTCTGTCTCTCCTTGGGGACGTATCTCGTCCTCTTTCTCTTCTGGGACTTCGGTCCCTCTTTTTCTCTTCTTTCCCTTTGTCTTTTTCCATGGATGAGCTCCCCACTTTTGAGAGGAGCTTCTTCGCTGTTTATGTACTTTTCTACCTTGGCCAGTACTTCAATCATGATGGCTAGGGGATTCTTTGAGATGGAAAATATCAGATCTTTTGACTGAACTCCTAGACCTGCTATGAAGGCTGTAATAGAAAATTTTTCGTCTGGGACATCCACCTTCAAGGATTCTGATTTGAACCGTTGGACATAAGATCGTAGGTTCTCATCAGGTCTCTGTTTCACATTTAACAAATGGTAGCTCAGTTTTTTATAGGTCCGAGCTCTGATGAAGTGGGACACAAACGAAATTGACAGCTCTTTAAAAGAGGAAATCGAGGCTGGGGGGAGTCTGTTGAACCATGCTAAGGCTGAGCCCTTCAAGGTAATACGAAAGGTTCTACAGCGCACTGGATCCTGGTGTCCATGCAACTCCATCTAGTTCTTGTAAGTGTTGAGGTGATCTACGGGATCCTTTGTTCCATCAAAAGCCTCTATCTACGGTACTCTGAATTTCAAAGGGAGGGGAAAATGCAGCACGCTAGTGGTGAACGGAGATTCAGTCTGTTGTACTAAGGCATCCATCGTAACTGGAGCCTTGCCTCTCACGGCTTCCTTCATGTGGCTGAGTTCTTGCTGGATACCCTGGAAGCGCTGCTCCAAGTATCATTCTCTCCTTTCTTGTTGATAGGGGAAAAAATCGTTCCTCTCGCCCCCGTCATTCTGACTTTGTACTTCTTTGTTGTGTCCATTCCAGGGGGTATGCGAGGTTTTGACCTCATTGTTTGGTTATTTTCCCCTTCTTTGTTGACTTCTCTGAGGGGGTCGAGGTGTGGTTGCTCCCTAGGTGGTGGATTGTTCTGGCCTTCTTGAGCCTGTCGCGCCTCATGTGGGTGTGGTAAGAGCTTTAAGAGTTCTTCGTTTTGTTTCAGCAAACATTGATTGACGAGGCGAAATGCCTCCATTTTGTTATTCATGGGAAGACCCCCTACATGTGGATTGGTCTCTTAGACGTTCTCAGGTTATCTACTATTAGTAGCTTCTTGTTGATCTTGCATCCGTGGTGGATTTGTTTGACTTCGGCTCATGTTTCGCGTTGATACCATCAGTCACTGAAAGATCAGTTTATTTATAACAGGAACAGTCGCTCTCACAGACGGTGCCAAACTGATGGTGTATTTCAACGTGGATGAGCAAAAGGTGCAAGCAATGTGAGATGAGCGTGGATCAGAGCTTCAAGGCTCGTGTATGATGATGCAATCAAATATTGAGGGGATTAAAGGGGTGTACATAGTAAAAATATAGTGGTTCACCGGCTTAGGAGCTCGGCTAGTCCACTCTTCAATGGAGGCTATGACTCCTTTTTCTTTATTGATCATACCAAAGGTTTACAGAATATCTTTTTAGTCATTCGGTCCCCTCCATTGTTAGGGGGTGTTACCTTGCATTTATAAGGTCATTCCCTGCTAAGAAGGATCTTAGCCGAGATTCTTGCCCTTATTTCGTGGGTTTCTCCTTAATTCTAGGAGAAGATCTTGGTTGGTTGAGATTGGGTGCCTTGATTACAGCTTCCTAACGCTTTAGGATCAT